TATTCTCTGATATGCCACGCATAGAAAGTTTTTGAATATGTTTTGAACGCCATACTGGGGACCTGAGAACGGGACCGCCAACGCCATCCAAGTTGCCAGTCGTTCGATATAAAAGGCCAGAGGGTGGAATAAACTCAAACTCAGCACGAGTATAACGGAGTGCATGTGCTCCACTGCTACTACGTCCGTCGATCGTGGTCGCCGGAACATCTCTTCCCAGGGTTACAACGTTCCGTATCTGGAACTTACGCTAGCAGCGAAAGCAGATGCAAAGGCTGAAGCAACTGCTCGGAACGCAGTATGGAAGAACTGGAGAACTGTAACTGGTGTCCTCTGTGATAATAGAATGGAATGCCGATATACCTGAAGTCCAAGACCTACACTCAGTGACATCTGTCGCCATCTCCATCGACACAAAGCAGGTGGCGACCGAAGAAACAAAAGCCAACGCTGCTATGGAGAAAAGAATGCTGCGATGGAGCCTGGGACACAGACGACTTGATCGGATCCGGATGTAAGTTGTCCGGGACCACTCAAGTCCGACCGATTTCCAACTCCTTTGCTGTATCTCGCCTGTGCTGGTATGGGTATGTTAAACGCCCATCTCCAAATGCCATCTGCATTTCGGCTGACAAGTTTATCTTCGTCAGTAAACGTCCAAAAGAGTGACGAAAGCAAGGTTATATAAAGATGGATATGACTGCTGCAGGTCTGTCTGCAGTGGATGCATGAGACCAAGACCTTCGCTTCGGTCAAAGGAGCGTATCCGGAAGCAGTTGAACAAGAACCCTTGTAAGAAAAAGAATAGGGAGAAGTGCTGTCGTGTTCGCAATCCTTGTGAGTCGTTAGAGCTTATCTTCGACGATACATAGGTACACAAGGAAGGCTTGACATGTTTCTTGCGACTTTCTGGTCTCATTTATACGCACTGTTGATAAACCGACATGTTTACCCACAATCCCGATTTGGGCTGCTGCACAGAACTGGTGCAGTCTTCACTCTTTAAATCTGCCATGATTTTGTAAAGTCATCGTGATACCGGAACAAGGCACACCATTGTGTCAAGCTTAATTACTGCTCAGCTCAGAAAAAACTACCTACCTTGGAAGTAACTCGGGTTTTTGTGCTCTATGCAACCCTAAAAACTGAAATTTCCATGTCCTATAAAAACGGTCAGGCCCAAAACTGTTCATTTCATGTAGCGCTTAACCACGAAACATTTAGGAATGTCCGGGGATCAGAGCGTATTTGCCGCAAAGGAAAAAGTGAAGAAGAATATTGTTGAGATAGATGATGCCCAGTATATCCTCGAGTCAAAGGTGAGGACGCTTGTACACACTCTACTATACTAGAGACATTAATGAAAATTGGATCGGGCTTGGGAGGAGGTTCGGGCTTGGGAGGAGCAACGAGAGTGTTACACTCATCTGCCGATGAGGTAATGTTGGTTGAGAAGACACCTTACTAATAACTGGTTCTCCAAGCGCTTCAGCGAGAGCGACTGCGATGTGTATTGATCTTCTTCAGTGTTTGTCCCACTCGGCAGCGGTGTCCGCTTTGGGAGTACCGTCAGGCCGCTAGCCGGTCATCCTGAACTGGAGGCCTGTCCTACGGCCGGTATCGGCCTTTGCGCGAAGTACATCGCCGTACTATACAGGACGCATCCTTGCTTTTTTCAGCCTACTGTAAAAACCTTCGTGGCCATGAATGCTTTACGATTGCGGTCAAAAGCGTGAGGCCCACCTTTTAACTCCATCACCCTATGCTCCCTCTCAAAATTCATCGTTGTGATGTGACCCCTTTTGGACGACACGAAACACCCACCTCTCCGACGCAACACTACTTCCAGCTGGTTTGAAACTTGCTTCTAGGTTACATCTTTTTGCCAAGGGTGTCAGAAAATAGTTAATTTGGCGGCGATTGGCATCACCTCTGTGATGCGCCAATGCATAGGGCTCCTACGCAGAGGTGTTGGGGATGCAACTTCTAGACAGGGCTTCTTCCGTGCAAGCAAATGTGCTCCTGCTCTTGGACGGATTAGATGTCTATGTATTTCGCGACCAACCGATGATCCCTCGGTGATCCTAAACTACTGGGAACGGTTAGGACTCCACGAGAGGTCAGGCCGCCGCGGAGGTGCTCTCCGCGATGCTTTCGCTATGTATTTTTTGCATTTGCATAGTTCATGAGATTTCCAACCGTCTGCTTTATACTTGCAGGTGTGAAGGCTATGAAAGGAATGGGCCCGATATTCAACTACTAGTATAAAACAACGCCCATTAACATAGAAATAATATTTAGAGAATACATCAGCAATCTACGAAAATTCTTTTCAGGGTGAATCCTTCTTTTGGCCTCAATTGTAAGATATTGTAAGGTTTAAGATTCTCGGCCAGACGGTAAAAGTAGGTCCTATTGAAGAAATACAGCAACCCGTCGAATAAGTACAGCTGCCATTCAAAAATACTGTCGTCCCATTGAATATTCTGGTTTGGAAAAATCCCAAGCAGATTCGCGTGATGCCAGAACTATGTGAAGGGACCGGGATCTTAATCGCACGACCATGTTGCTCTCGTAAAATCAGTTGCAATCGCCGCGCGCGGCGAGGCGAGACATGGCAGCCGTGACCTCTCGTGGAGTCCTAACCTACACCCTAAACTACTTCTTCCCGGTGTCTGGAGCGTTTTGGGACGGTTAAACGGAATTTTTCGATTTGGCTCCACTCAACAATGATGTCATACTGGTGATCAGGACATCGAGCTTCTATAGATAAATTTCAGCATAATTTTTTTGAGTTTCTGGCGTAGGAACAGTTCAATAGTGCCTAGTTCTCTTTATTTTCAATTCCCTCTTCCCTTTTGCGCTTCATTTCATTTGAACCTTCGTGTCCGGGGGAGGGGGAGTCGTATGGAGACCCTTATTTGGGGGGGGGGTCGTATTCAGCGGGAAATGGTCACAACGTGATGGCGTGCCCTGCATATGCCTCGCGCTTCGAAACCGATGACCTCCCGCTGATCTTGAACACTTTTCCCGGTGTCTGGAATGTTCTGGGACCGTTTACCGACAATTCCGCACTTCTCTTGGCTCGAGCGCCTGTCTCTGAAATCCTGCGTCCTCAAACGGTTTCTCATAATGCAAAGTTTATCGTTTGCTGCCTCAAGCTTCTATGATGAACAATGAATCCTCTATTGAGTTCGCACGTACGATCCTCCTTGTCACTGAGTAACAAACTCTTCGATAAATTCTTGTCGAAGTCAAGATTGGCTCCTCCTTAGCTTGCTCACCAATTCCAACCCTTGCAAGACTGAGCTTCACAAGTTCGTTATGAAAGGCCAGCCCGAACTTCTCATTGCGATGAGCCTCTACAGTTATTTTATGTATTAGAAATCAATTTCATGAAGACTAGCACCCGTGACGCGTGCATCTGTGAAAAAAGTTGATTATCCGGTCAGACCTTCCAGAAGCTCAATCCACCTATCTAGAAAAGGTTGGGCCCTAATGCCCCTTATTGACAGAGTTCTTCGGTCGCATGATCAAGGCATGTAGAACCGACAAACAAGTCACGTTGCGAGACCTACCCCACCAAACGGGAATGACCTCACAATGCGGAAATTCTAGTCCAATTCCACGACGTTCTCGGAACATATGTTCAGCTTTCAGAGTTCGAACCATATTCGCCATCTAAGCACCCAGCTTACACAACTTCGAGAAGACTCTCAGCTATGTGATGCTGTTCTGGTCGTCAAGGTAATATCTATGATCCACTGGGAGACAGAACGTGGTCGTCCAGAATGTGTTTCAGGGAGCAAGGATGAAAGCCCACCGGGTAGTGCTTGCTGCATGTTCGAATTACTTCAAAGCCATGTTCACAGCTGACATGGCTGAAAGCTGTTCACCTCGTATGTTTACTATCCGTAATTTCTGTCGCTCTACGTTACGAATCATTGTTGTTTTATATTTTTGTGTCGGGTTGCCGGTATGTATGAATAGTGCAGTTCGCTGCGGACTGTTGGGCGTGTCACTGCGGCTGCGTTTGGCGCGGTGCCAAATTCGTTCTCCATCAGTCGTTGAAGCGGGTAAGTGACAATAGTGTACTGTACTGTAGTGACAAGTCCTTCATATTACTCGTTTTCTACCAGTTTTTGTCGCATGCGCGTTTCAAGAACGGCTCCGACGGTGTGAACACACATACTGCCTGACACGCCCAACCGCGCGCAGCGAACTAAAGTGTGTCTGTGTGTGAATGCATATAGGTGTGCATGTATGTATGCACGTATGTCTGCCTGATGCTTTTTCGCCCGTGACTTTTGCCTAATCCAAACGCTTGCTTTCAAATTTGACTACATTATACCTACCATTGTTACCAGTAAATAACAGCAATACTTTTAAGCACGGTTCACAAATTTTTTTGCTTAGCGACTTTTTTCAATGTCCTCAAGGATTGTCATACTGCTCTTGTTTTCCGTGTTTTGAAAAAGCTCTATGACACGTTTCTAGATGCCAAAATAGGATTTTACCAATTCCAGTGACTGGGAAACAAGACTGGAACTTCGGACTCAAAAAAAGCTGCCATGACGACGGAAAATGTCGGCGTAAAGCGCGCCTTTCCTGAGTAGAATGCTGAAAGTTCCTAGATGCACAGTGCCATCGTGGTCACACAATAAAACTGCAGTCAATGTTTGGAAGACCTTGGAGTATGTGTGACATCTTTTCGCTAGAATGAACGCACCATCCACTGCTCGCCAGCTGATTAAGAATCCACATGCGTTGACTTCGCAGCCAATTTCAATAGCGTTAATGAGACAAATATTAGTAAAGGGACTGTCGGAAAAACATTGAGATGGTAGGTGTGCAACCAAGAACTCGCTGTTGCTGTCCAGCGCAGAAATTCAAAGGGTCAAAGCAGAGGTCACTCTCCTCCACCATCACTGAAAATCGAGCGGTGCAAATAACTTCAAACCCACTCACGGGAGTGGCCTCGTTGTTTTGAATTTAATGTTATCAAGTGTGTCGCACAATTTCTCGACGATCTCAACACTCCTGCGTTGCTGAACAGTAGGGAGTAGGAAAGCGGAGGGGCGCTGTTTATCGACGGGGGGGCATTCTGCTTTTCATAGATTTGCCAACCCATCTAGGTACCCTTTTTTCGAGTTGACACGTTTTAGGATGGTGGCTAGACGATCTTGCTCCAGCTTCACAAGCGTTCACAAGTTTTACCAGAGTGAGATTTGTAAACCGGAACCAGGGAAGCAATTATCACTCCATATATATAATTCGCTTCGTCTGTTTGTTTATTTGTTTGTTTGTTTGTTTGTTTGTAAGTTTGTAAGGTTGTTTGTCTGTCCGGAAATTCGGTTCGACCTGAAGAACGACTTGGAGAGGTCGGGTCAAGGTGGGGATGGGTAGAGCATGGGACAAGAAATAAAAAGCACACTTGACATGCGCGCCCACAGTGGGCGGGGCACTCGCCGAAAGTTTGGGGTTCCGCAGAAAAATGTTCATAATTCGCTTCCGGAGCAGCTTAAAGATGGGGAAAAAAGGGAATAAGGTTAGTAAGGAGTCGCCAGACTAACTGTGGCAGACACATCCAAATGGGCGGGGCGTACTCAAGGTGGGCGGTGCTTCTCATAAAACTCAGTAACCCGGTTCGCGAGAGTGTTTAGAAGTCGCAAAAAGCTCAGTGCAGAATGTAAATATCTGGCGAGTGTTGGGCACGCTCAAAGTGTGTTGAGACCCACCACAGTGGGCGGAGCTTGCCCTAAATCGCAGGATACTCATTTTAAAAGTTTGTAGCTCGGTTCCAGAACACTCCAGAAACCGGAAAAAAGAGGATCGAGGTCAGCGAGAGCTGGGCCGATTGAGGATTGCGGGGCACAAACATAGTGGGCGGGGCCTGCTCCGAGTTGGGCGGAGTTAGGCGAAAAATCTGTAAAATAATTCTCAGCACTACCGTGAAAAAGCCGTAAAAAAGTGGATTAAGGCCAGCAGGGCAGAGCATGAGAAAATGTGGGCACATATGTTGTGGGCGGTGCCAGTCCGGTGGGCGGAGAGAGACAAAAGCTCTGTCAAACGGTCCCAGAGCACTTCAAAGACTGGACCAAATTGAATGGTCGCCTATTGAGAACAAGTTTTCTTGTCACTGTGTTGTTCAAAACTTCAAACGGCTAAAAAAAGATGATGTTGATTTCTTCCTTTTTGTCGCTTCAGGCGCACAATATACCACCTCACTCCTTTCCCCACCCTTCCTCCCCTTCCCTCCCAGCTAGAAATGCATCAGACATAAGTGCGGCAGGTAGTTTTAGCGGTCGTCGAGCACATTTTGAATTTTTTGATATAGTAGCGGTTGAAGGTGTGACTTTCTCCCGCCTGTTATACCCAGTACTGTAATTTCTGGCAGTACATTCGTGAGAAATATAATTAACACCAGTCGGATCGCCGGGCTTACTCCGAGCTCTTCTCCTTCTCTTTAACTGGCCTGGCTTCCTAGGCGCACTTCATAATGGATGCGAAATTTGTCATTCACTGAGCTGCTCATATTGCGCTGTATTGAAGGAATCGTAACAGCTAGAGCAACCGAGCGAATCCGGAGTCCACGCTTTTTCGCAGAAAGGGTAGTGGTCTGGGCCATAGGGCCCATGCCTACGTAGATCCGTAGATAGGAAACTCAGTCGGGCAATACAGCACACTATGAGTTGCTCGGTAAAAGCGCAAATCACGCTTCCATTACCTGTATCACACGAATACCGATCAGCGCTCACCTTTTCCACTAGCATACAATCTATTCATTCCTGTCGCAGAAAGATTGCCGATGCTAATGTTTTGCCACGTACATTAGTTGTACATTTTCTTGCTCCGTATTATTCGTTACCATCAGCAATTGAACGTTTGAAGGTAAAAGGGTGTTATCACATTCTAAACATTACCTCAAATTGATACCACGACCTGAATTGGCTCGCAACTCTGCTAGCGTTGGGTTCTTCCTATCGCTTCCACAAAGGTTGCGATGAGCTCTTGCTAACGCGCACTCTACGCTTCCCGGTCTACACCCACCAACCACCCCCCCCCCCAGAGTAGCAGCTTCGATCTGTGGCTCGGAACACACCAAATACTTGTTTTACACCGTGCAATGTTCAACCGTATTTGCAATGTTGTCTTAAAGGCAGTTGGCACGATGGTTTCCCACTCGGCCTAAAATGCTAGTAGGGCGCTGTGTAGTGGGGAAATGGCGAAAGAACGGAGTGAAACGGTCAAAATCCTGCGAAGAAAAAGCCTCCGTTCTCAGTGACTTGAAAATCGATTTCGGACGAGTTTCCCGTAGGCATCTTACCAATCACCGCTACCGAAGATACGGCTGCATATGTGTACCCATGTATGCATGCAGCATCACGGCCGCTTCATACCAATCCCTTCGCTTCATAATTTGCTCAGCAAATGAATGAATACGAGCGTCAGAAACGGTCGTCCGTTTGTGGGCGGGCGGGCAAGGAAGGCGTTTGGGACGTAAAGTTGTTGCTCAATAGGGCGTTATAGGGGTACCCTCCTTGGAAAAGGCTTCACGCAGCGCCTGTCCGAGGTCACGGAATTCTGTTAAGCCAGTCGTATAAATCCTACATCTGTATAGCGATTTATCGTGTCAACTGCCTTTAAGCTGATAGCACAACATGGACTGGTGCAACTCTGCTGGCAGTTGTACCATCCTTTCTTCAGGTTGTCGCTTGCGCTAATGTATTTGTGCCCACAATAGTGGTGTGCTCTTGCCAAAGCGTACCCTACTCTACGCCCCCCCCTCCCATCGTACCTCCTCATCAACTTCACCTATCCACACTAACCCTTCCTCACCCCCTCGCTGTACCTCTTCCCTACCTTGTCCCACCAGCTGCCACGCAAGCAGCCCGTGCAATGGCTCGAACCCGAGATATCACCTGCAATGGATACCACATTGTGGATTGCCCTGCAACTCTGCTAGCGGTTGATCCCTTTTCTTTATTATGGGTGCTCCTGTTGAAGCAAACTCTAGGTCTTCCCCCTCCCCACTGACCTCACTTCCATCGCCCTACCTTCTTCCCCATGCCCCCTCGCCCCTGCCCTTCCCTACCCTGTGCACTCACGTCCAGCTGCCACGCGAGCAGCCCATCAACCTCACTTCTGGTTTCTAGATTGGCTAGCGGTCGTTCTCTCCTTACAGTTACATGTTGAATCCCGTGAAGCATTTTGCGGACGGACAACATACAAACATACATACATACATACATACATACATACATACATACATACATACACTCCTTATCTCTTGAACGGAGTAGGCATGGCTTTTGATGGGATCGGACGGGTTTCTCGTGGGATACTTCAATTTGAAACAACTGCTATCTTGTTCTGTTATATGTAGACATGATTACGACTGCTCCGAAATGACAATATCTCACGAAACCTGGGCCGACGCCATTTTAAATCAAGTACGCGGCCACGCCTACCCGATCTCAGGGATATCGAGTATACATACATACGGACCGACAAACCGACACACAAAACTCCTGCTTTATAAAATAAAGCGATAGTTTCCTATCAGTTGTTATTTGTTAATATCGTTACCTCGAACCCGTCATCAATGCTTACCAGACTTTCATGATATGGTAGTGTGAAAGCTTTACCTCGTTGAGGAATCGACGGCGACAACGTCGCTCATCAACCCCCACATCGGCTGTTATCCTTTTCTGTCAACACCAATGGCTGTAACAAGAGGAGAAGAGCTCCAGGAATCTCATTAGCTTTCCTTTTCAGAAGAAATAGATATGGTTAATGTTGAGGCATCAACAGTTGAGGCTCTTGTGAAGTTCTGCTACTCTGGAAAAATAAACATTAGTGACACCAATGTATCGAGTATTCTACACACAGCTCGTACCCTTCAATTACACCAGGTTGAGGTCAGGGGTTCTTACTTGGGAAGATTTTTCCTGCCAGCTCTACAAAAATCGTGATCTTTATGTTCATCGCAGGAGCTGTGTTGTGAGTTTCTCAAAGAAAGGTTGGAGCCATCGATTCCCTTGGTGATGCGTGCGGTCACTGACAGCAATACATTTCCAGAAGCTCCTCTATGTGCTGACGAGAATGTCTTGCATGATTTTGAGGTTGTTGCCTTCGTAGCCAAAGCTCGCATATGTCTCTCTTCTCTTTTTCAGAACGTTGTTAACACTGAGAAATCTCACAAGCTCCTTGTTGACCAGCTAACTGAATTAATTTCAACTGGAGAGCTAAATGTACAATTAATGGAGCAGGTATATGGGCCAGTTTTGTGGTGATATTATAATGTTCTTTTTTGGCTATATTTATCCTCATCCTACTCATGAGTGACAGCAAGGGATTTTTGTAGGTTGCTGTTGCAGTTCTTCAGTGGATTAAGTCCGACCTGTCAGCTCGGAAACCATTTCTTTCGCAGGTAATGCTTGGGTATCCTGTCAGTGTGACTGTTTTGATCACTGATATTACAGGTGATGGAACAAATGGGACTTTGTTCTTCGGAAGTTCGGGAAGGACAACACAGCCACAGAAGGCCTGTCAGCGAAGGCAGATGCCGCTTGCGGAGATCTTTCCCATAAAACTAAGGCTCGTCGCCTTCCTTAACATCTGCATTTTCAACAGCGTGTTTCAGATCTCAGAATCTTCTGAACGACCTGGCAAGGAATTGCTGTCCACCCAACCTAAGGATTCTTCTAAATCTCGTGAAGTTATATACGTTGGTATGGTTCACACAAACAGGACTCACATCCCTTTCTTACAGTTAGATATTCTGCGGCGCCTCGATGTGAGGGAGGGGGAGACGGAGGGTCAGTAGAAATTGGTACGCTTGACCTCGTTAATGACTTGTCTCGCACCTATGATCGACGGCATATATTAGCGAGGTGCGAGCGGACTCTCATTAAGCGACAGGCAGTTAGCCGAGGGCAGGGCACGAAGCTTTTCGAAATCGGCACAAATTGAGTGAAAACTCCCAACGGATTCAGGTTAAGGCTTACGAAAAAGAAAAAAAGATTAAGGTGAAGGCTTACGAAAAAGTAGTACGATAAGGTAGCGCTACCTGACAAACTGAATAGAATGGTATAATGCGTAGCTTTTAACTAACCAATATTCAAGTAATCGATAGAAAAAAATGTAAATCCGGTCATACAAGAGTTCATGACAAGAAGCTTCAAGAAGGTCTCGTGGAAACCCATACGCTTACGAAGTGCATTCTTGCATATAGCTGAATCTCATTGCCTGCCTTCGGCGGGTTAGTTCAGGTAATGCCCCTCTGGCCTTCTATATTGGCCCGGTAATGACTTCTCTATCACTTTGAGAGCCCTCTGGCCAAACACAACACCTCAACGAGAGGTCATGAACAGATACTTAAGCTAACAGGTAGAAAGCAAACACGCGAGTTGTTGTTTGAGCAAGTCCTTGTGTTACCATGTATTCAAGTACTAATCCATCATTACTATATTCTGCTGATTCCTGATTCCTGCTGTATCACCATGCACATTTCCTCCCGCACTAGCACCTTATCACTTCGTCGGTCAGGAACCAACATACTGCGTTACTCCAGCACCGGGAACATCCTACTTCGTCGGTCAGGAAGCATCTTATTCCGCCGCTACACCAGCACCCTCGTATTACGTGGATCAGATTCTACCGCACATTATCCCCCCACACAACTTTCAGGGTACATAGTCCCCGCCCGTGATCCTGACTATTATTATTTTCAGATTCAATGAGCTTTATCAGCAGGGAGTATCAAGCGCCCAAATAGAGTCCTACTGCAGAAAGATGTCCCAGTTTGTTACAAACAAAACTATATGATACATATTTATTCGATTTGCACACTTGTTTTTGTTTGAATAGTTGTAATAATATTAATAATAATAAACTAATAAATAGCTGGAATATATAGCAACCTTTTTACCCACTTCACCGAAAATTTTCAATGGATTCGTGCCTGGATAGCTCAATACTTCTCCTCTTACCGGGGCCAGCCGAAGTTAGCGCGACGTGCCTCGGCTTAATGAGGTCGCTTCGCACCTCGCTAATTATGCCTCGAATCATAGGTGCGAGACAAGTCATTAACGAGGTCAAGCGTACCAATTTCTACCTACCCGGAGACGGAGGGTGGTAGGTTGTATACTGTGCGCTTAAATGGGAAAAATCGATAGTCAGAAAAATTTTCCGCCGCCAGATATCACCTCCTCTCTCCCTTACAGCAGTCCTCGAGGATTCTGTTACAGTATCTTTGATGCCGGCACAGTATTCCTTGATGCGAACACCTTTCCCGTCTCGTCTATAGGCGCAGAGCTATGTGCCTGACATTGATGTCCATATACTCCCTTTTCCGTACAGTCGCCAAGATTCCCGTGCGGGGCAGGTAGCACAAATTCGCGATATCACACGTGGATTTGTTGCAAACCAGTTGCTGTGGTGCTTTCGCTGTTTCGGTGGGTATGGTTACCAACTCATAATCCACTGAAATCACCCTCCCCCCCTAGCATTCTGTATGGACCTACTCCTCAGGTCCATACAGAATGCTCAGAAGTATCACAATTCAACGCGCTTTATTTCGCGAGCCGATATTTTACCTTCTTCGAGTTTAGGGTGCCGTACAACCATTCTTAGTGGCTTAGCGAGAGTAAGGGTTGAAAGATATCGGCAACGAACCGCGAAGCTGGTTTTACACGTTTTAAAATTGTTCTGCTAGAATACTGCAGTCTTACGCCACATTTCGCGCTCTGAACGTTTTCTCGAGAGTTATGGGCAAGCTAGCTGGTTGTCCCATTCATCAACAGAAACGATTTTGGAAGCTTGCTTCCAGTGCGATAGGAGAAACGCAACGTTTTCAGGGCAAACCGTATCTTGAGCATATACTAACACGTTGAGTATGGTATTTCTCTGCGCGCGATGACCTAATTCCAGCGCTATGTTGGCTCCCACACGCTCTTGTGCCTTGTGCCATAGCCATACAGCACTTTCGCACTTAGGAGTCGCCCACGGAAGTTTCTTCTTGTGAACCCGCGTAGGTGCGCTGCACTAAAGGTCATGTGCGAAGTTTCACCCGCAAAAGTCCACATTTCTAATGGTAACGACGCGCCACTTGGAACGTCCACTCAGATGGCCGAAGGGGGTCTACGGACAACTTGAACTCAGTCCCTTCGAATGCGTCGATCTTCTCTTTTTCTCTGCACTCTCTCTCCT